TTTCCTTCATTTTTGGATGCTCCATCTTGAAGTAGCCAGGACATGACCTTCAGAACTAGTGAGAAGTTTTGAACTTGCTCTGAGCAGTGGGCTGAACTTGAGAAGGAATCTTCAGTTCCCTTAGGGCATTACCATGGGTCCAAGACTTTGCCCAGATAATTTGGATATATCAGGCACGGGCAATCCAAACACCTGCAGGTATCCTTGGCCCTGTGATTCTGTGGAGGCTGTTATCCAGCAATATGGACAGGAATGCAAGAGCCATAGCATGGGTTCAGTGTGCTTGTACCTCTTGCCCTGCTACGATGTTGAAACGACCCCTGAGAAGGTGGTGTTGCCTCCTCCCCCAAATAAGGCATGCCTGAGCTGTGTGCTGTGTCCAACCTGTGTGGCTTCATGAGGATTTTGACAGAGGAGGCAGAGCTCTCTGTTCAAAGAGGAGAACTTACCCTTTCTCTTTGCTTAATGTTAAACCTTTTAAATATTATATGAAAGAAGTAAGAAAAGCTCTTCAAATAAACAGCATAGAAGGAAAATTCCAAACCTGACAAAACAGACTGGCCAGAAGAGCCATATGCCAAGGGGCTAATATTATACTGAAATCCTGAGTGTATACAAACGGTAAAATATATTAATCCCTTGATATTTTTTTTCCAGTCTTCTATTAAAAGGCAAAAGAGTTGTTTGATGAAACATTTCAGATATTTGAAATAGCAAATAAATATAAAATGCTGTAAATTCTGTGTTAAAGTTACAAAGTGTAGTCACAATGTCTTGTTACAGTTACAAAACCTACAACTTAGCATGAAAAAAGGGAAAGCGTTATTATTCCATTTGAGCTTAGAATACATTTTCGTTGTTTTGCAGTAACTGCAAACATAATTAGAAACACGTGTTAGCTACATAATTTCTCCAAAATGCAGAGATCCTAGGCACTGCTAAAATTGAGTATTTCCTAAGAAGCCTCAAATGCTTCACTGTAATAATTACTGTAAGTAATTGATGTTAAGTGGTAATTTCTTGATGGTGACTTCATTTATCTTCTGTGCTTTTATTTTATGCTTTTTTGCCAAAAAACTGAAGAGTTAGACTAATATTCAGATTCCATCATCTATTTATGTTTAATTATTGGCTGAATTTTATTCATTTCTGGAGAGTCCCAAAAGAATTTTAAGAGCCTTGAAATCTGAAATGGGAAATGTGCCTAGAGGAGATGTGTTCTTATTTATATCACATTTGAGTTAGAGAAAACTTGTTTTGGAATTTCAGATTAGTTCCTTGCTGCATTGTTTGAAGCTGTCAGAAAGAAATTAATATAATCTGATAAAATGGAGAATGCCCCCTGTACTTAATGCAGAGTGAGGAGGTGTTGATCAAGTTAGGGCCAAATTTCAGTAGATTTGCTCACATGGATGAGTACCTCATTTATCAGGTCTGTCTTCTCCCTTCTGTGGTTTTAATTCCTGTTCCTATTCTGACATATTCTCTTTCTTACAAACATCTCTATCCACTTTACAAGCTTGGAGAAACTACTGTGGTCTTAGGTCCAGGGGCTTGTGTGCCTGAAGTCAAGCTGGAAGGATATAAAATAGGTTCCTCAGATAGTGTATAACCTCACATAGTGCTCATTTTTCTTGGAATTTTCATCAGGTTATTTTGAAGACAGGTCTGGTGGGGAGCTGTTGGTAGCAAGTGAATATGGACTTGTAAGAGAAAAGTTTTTCAGGTGTACGGAACAGGTATTTGAGCATAAGTATGTTCTGTTTTTCTCATGGATTCCTATATTTAAATTATTCCTGCTCAGAGACAGAATATCTACCTTTTCCTGCTAGAAAAATATTAAGGATATGACTTTCCCTTTCACCTTTTCTGCAAAATTTTCCTCCACATTTTTTGTAATAGGACAGAATTGTCCAGCACTTTGAGACTTTTCACTGATTGAAGGAAAAAAAATTTGCTTTGGAACATGGGTTTGGGTTTGGTTTTGTTTTGTTATATTTTGTTTTGTTTTGTTTTTCTGGTAGAAAAGCCAAAGTTCAAATCGCATAGCAATATAAAAAATTGCAACAAAGTTAGAAAATCAGAAGGGTAATTTAAGGATAACTTAATCTGGTAAAATAAACATAACAGAAATTTTACATTAAAAGAAAAATATTCAAGTAAATCTAGTAATAAGACACATCTAATCCATCTAATTGCATCTAGGAGAGTATGGGGAAATGGAAAGCAGAAAGTTGCTAGGCAACCATTTGTTAAAAGACAAATCTTCATCCAACTTTCCAGTAATTCTGCATTAGATAAGGAAAATTTCTTCTGCTTTATCCAGATGATCTATCAATGTTGAGTGTGTTTGAAAATGTATGGGGTCCCAGTGCATTTTAAAATGAGAAAGAAAATCTGAGAAAAGCAGTATACAGTTAAGTGCAAATGACATGGAATGGGACTGGAAGACTCAACAAGTCAAGAATATTTATCTGACTATATCCTAGACTCCAGATCTGAGATCACCACTATAATAAAATTACCTCAGTTCTTACAAGGCATTATGGTTAACACAGGACTGAAAAAAACTCAACTGCCATTTACAAGCCCTTTTTTTCCTCACTTCTCCATCTTCTCACTCGTTCTTTTACTTTTCAGTGTAGCAATATAAATACTTACACTGAGGAGACCTACATTTCACCTAACCCAGCAATGTGAGAGATTCTAAGCAATAAAATGAACTGTGAGTGCATAAATACTGTTGGTTATTTTATCATCAATGTGGGACAGGCCACCTGGAAAGAATTATGTATCTTTATATCGGGGCATCATCTCTTGTCTGGTTTTATCATCACAATAATACAGTTTTTCTAGAGTAGGATCACATGTTTGCTCCCTTCTTCCACAAACTATTTCTTCCTCTCAAACAGTTGTCTCTTTCTCTTCTGCTCTCCCAAAGAGAGAGAGAAAACAGTATAGCAGATTTTAATAACAAATCCTAGGACCAGGGTATCCCAGTGCTCTCTCTTTGGCTTTTCCAATAACACTATGGTAATAGGAACTATCTGGTGATGAAACTTTCCAGGAAGTCTCACTGCCTTTGACATGCTGGTATGCCATCCATGCAATCTGTCCTGTGTAGTCCTCAATGGTACAAGTCTTCACATTGCATGGGACCAGCCTTCTTGAAATAGAGCTGTTAGCGCTGAACTGAACTGAGAAATTAGGTGTGAAATCTCTAAGAAGTTTATGGACATGAAGAAGAAGACACAGCCTCCAGGACAAGCAAGCTTATTTCTGTGGAAGCATTGTCAAACATGGCATAGATCTTCAGTGAGAACCTAAGCAATAAAAAAACCTGTAATTCACAGGTGTAGATCATAGGAGTGTGGAGAAAGCACATTAGTAAGGTACCACACAAACAGGACAACTATATCTATAAATGAGGCTAAGAAATAAATAGGTTGAGAAAGAGAAATACTTTCTTTCTCACAGAAGACCTAGATTTTGAACTTAAGTGAACAGTATCTTTGATCATACAGAATGCCAAAATAAATATTTGAGGGCTGCTTATCTTTAATGTCATGCAAAAAAATGAAAGGCAGACCTTCTGTTCTTGGGGTCTCAGGACACAAAGATTGTCTTTGCTACCATGAAATATTTTGAAACAGATCTTAAAAAAATCTTGAACAGTTATCAAGAAAATATATACTTCCTTTGACATATTGACGTGCATTCTGCTTCTTGGCCATAGGATTAGTTCTAAATGGTTTCCTCTGAATATTCTGAAGGCTGAATTATAACTGCCAGGATTTTCTTGGTGCTGTGGTAATTTTCCTTCTTCTTTCAGTAGATCTGCATAATCACATTTCTTGGCAGGGTCCCATAGAAGTTGCAGGTTTGACTTGTCACCCCACAAGGCTAGCCATGGACTTTTACAGAGGTGGATCAGCTTACATTTTTTAATTGGATTTAACCTGGTTCTCCTTACTTGTGACCAAAGGAGGGGAAGAAAGGTTTTCTAAAGCAATATCACCCAGGAATAGTGCGGCCAGCAGGACTAGGGCAATGATTGTCCCACTGGACTCAGCACGGGTGAGGCCACACCTCAAATCCCATGCTCAGTTATGAGCCTGTCACTACAAGAAAGACATTGAGGTGCTGGAGCATGTCCAGAGAAGAGCTCAGGAAAGGTTTGGAGCACAAGTCTGATGAGGAGTGACTGAGAGAGCTGGGAGTGTTCAGGAGAAAAGGGAGCTCAGAGTAGAACTTACTGTTCTCTACAACTACCTGAAAGGAGGTGTAGCCATAAGATCAGTGTCTTCTCCCAAGTAACAAGTGATAGAGCAGAAGGAAATGGCCTCAATTTGCACCAGGGGGGGTTTAGATTGGATATTAGGAAACATTTCTTCACTGAAAATGTGGTCAAGTGTTGGAATAGACTGCTCAAGGAAGATTTTGAGTCACTAGCTCTGGAGGTATTTAAAAGACCTGTTTGATCTTGTTTTTTGCTGAAGATCTGCACAGGCATGTAAGGTAATGTGTTCTGTTGCCTGGGGATAATCCAGCTTTAGCCTAGCTCCTATATTTTTCTACAACCCTGTTGCCTGCAGAGACACTTTAAGGATCAGTTTTGCCTGTGCGGGCCAGTGGGTTTATACCAAAACTGAACCAGTTAAGCAATGAAGAGCGGTTACTTGGAGCCTGAGTTCAAAGTCAAGACAGAATTATCATGAAATATTAATACAGACAGGAAGTCAGAGAAGAAATGGTACAGTGCAGGTAGCACTGTAGTTGTGATAGAAGCATTCTTTATTTTCTTATATTTATGCCTTGAATTTTTATGAAAATAAGCTTTTTTTTTTGTCTGTTTATTTGATTTGGTGGTGTATTTAATTTGTTATGTTACCAAAGTCTGTATAAACTGAAAGGCTGCCAATTACAGTTATAAAAAGTTGCAGCACGATGAAAGTATTAGTGCTTAGGAGATTTCATAACTGTCTGTTTGCCTTCCATAGCTATTTTCTGCTGGAAAAATCACAGACACCAGAGTAGCTGAGCTGAAGGAACAGTACACCATGCTGTATGAGGCTGTGATAAGGTATAATATTCCCTTTTAGACTTTCAATAGGCAAAGCATTATGTTTTTAAAGTACTTTATGCTCATGCTGAAGCCTAATTATGATTTAAGGCTTTCTTACAGTTATAGTTCATAAACAGGAAGCCAGAACACAAGGTTGAAAACCACTATTATTTAATAGGAACTTTCAAGGTAATTTGGGATATTTAAATGCTTGTTTGAAACACATCTTTGTTTCTAATACAAACATAATAATATTGGGAATGGATGTACAGACTGCAACAGACAATTTGCAAGTTTAAAATAAATATGTATTTGAAGATCCTGTAGCCAGAATTGTAACATATTAAAAGACTGACCTACTGAGCTGACATCATAGAGAGCAACTGAAGAAGCTAAAGGCTCCTTTCTAAGAAGGAAAATAAAACTGTTACTCCTAAATAGGTGTGAATTTTACCCTCTGAGAATACTGACAGTCACATTATACAGGACTGCTAATAGATTTTGATCAGAAGCCTAAACTTTGAAGTAAAATGGAATTTGGAAATCAGGGTATTAGTTGTGAGCCTGCCCTGCAGCAGTACTTGCTGGAGGAGAGAGCAGAGATGGTGCCAGGCTTGGGAAGGGCGTGTGTGAGTGGAAGGAGAGAGACAGAGAGGGTCAAAGGGGGACACCATTCTACAGCTCTACCAGGTGAACCGTGTGTCCCAGAACACAGCAGTCCTACTGAAAATACTGCAATATTACATTAGTATTTATTAATAATCATTTTATACTACTTACACATACCTGTAATTATCATGATATTCCTGTTACAGTCTTGTAATGCATACCATAATATCCACTGTATTAACAATTTTTTATCCCACTTTCACTGACAGCCCAGATTAAAAACTTTATGGCAATTCTGTCATTGAAGCTAAAGCCTAATTTAAGTATTCTAAAACTAATTCAGATTATACCTGCTTATTTGCATGGGATTTGCTGTGCCTCCTGGAAGCCTGAATAGCAACAAGTGCAAAGTAATGTAAAGTAATTTGAAAAAGGATTCTCAGAATACTGAAATAACAGTTTTTCTTGAGGATAGCTGATTCTTCTGGTTTTGTCTTAAAAAAATGGGGAGTTGGGATATCGTTCTGACTCTGTGAAACATCATCTGAATTTATTTCAGGTTACTGATAGCAATTCTTTCTGAGAAGCAAAATTAAAACCAGCACTACTAAACCAGTTCAGGTTCCTAGAAAATACAAGAAGACTTTTCTAACTGCTCAGATCTAAACATATTTTGTGGTGTTTGGATTAATTGATAGAGAAGGTTTCTACCACACTGGTGTTCACTGGGCTGAAACAGAAACCAATAGCTGCTTATTAGTTGATTTTCAGCCAGTGTTGGTTTAAAAACAGCCTTTCATTGGAAAAATAGAAGCATATTCCTACATATTTTATGTATTTATACTGTGTTCTTTTATATGGGACATTTATTTATGTAAAAACAATGCTTTTGTGTGTTTAGAAGTGGAATAGGCCCCGAGTGTAAACAGGACTCGAAGACTCAAGTCAAGAGTATTTATCCGACTATATCCCAGATATCTCAGCTGTCCTTTCTGTCACACTTAAAACTACCCTTAAGAGAATGCACCAAAAGCATGAAAATGTTAGATGGTGGATTACATCTCTCATTCTTTCCATCGTTCTCACAGGAGTATGAAATAGTCATGCTTCTGTAAGAAATTGGATCAGAGATCATGATGTCACATTCTGTATTAGATGTAACTGTGTCACAGCAGAACACCAATGTGTGAACAAGCACTAATTCTCACAGATAAATTTCTCCTACTGCTAAAAGAAAGCAAGGGAAATCAATTACTAAAAATCAGTCATGATCTCCAGTATATTTTGAGGACATCAAAAGTGGGATTCAGGCATCAAAATTAGGATTCAACTGTCCATATGTTAACATCAGCAGACATGCTCATCTGAGCAAGATACCAAGGTCCCTTAACAGTCTATAGAAAGAAATAGGGATCACACACTTTCTCCTTATTCAGATATCTGCAAGGGTCTGGGTTTCTTCATCAGCTGTAAGGACTGTCCTGGTGGTGAGTGCAGTATGTGAATATTCTCTTCCTGTAAAGAACCCTTCATAGGATCAATACCACTTTTTAATTGTTAGTTCTTCACCCTAACGTGCTGTATGCTTCAGTGGATCAAGAACTTATTTTTTCACATATTACAGTTGAATTCAATCCCTTTCCTAATTAATGCCATCTTTCCTAGTGTTGTTGCAGTGCCATGTTAAGACAAATGACACAGGATGAGATTTTCAAGCTCTGTGTTTTCTTCTTTCCTTTATTAGCATATAAAAATCTCAAGGAGAAAACCTCATATATCTTATGCAGCACAGTTTCCTGTGACAGCTGTGCCAAACTGTTGGAACTGATCTCTCTGATATACAATACAAATTTGTCTAATATCATAAATGCAATTACTCTCTGTGCAGATAGTTTCCAAGGCTATTGCCAATGTACACAGAGCTATAAGTGTATAGTGCAGTCCTCTGTTTAGTGGCAAATTTATTTCTTGCTTTCAGTTTGGCACAATTTGGCATTCTAAAAGCAGAAAGATGTCACCTGGAAGAAACCATCTTTGATACTTTTCTTCAAAGTCTTAAATGATTTTAAATTTACGTTTGCTGAGAACAGGCTTTCATCCCATTGTGGTGTTGTCTCAGCCATCTACTTTGTAGTACGGCTGCATCTAAAGTTAAAGTATCTGAGCCTGTATTTTGCCTCTGAAAACCTTTTTGGTGACTCAGTTATGTGGCCTAATTGTAGATTTTATTTATATTATCTCAATTTAGGAACCTAGTATGAATATTCTGTTAACCCAAACTAGAAGATGCTCAGATAATAATGAAGATTGATTCATTAGCAGATTGGGAATCTAATTTTCTTAAGCCTCTGCTAAATTTCTAATTTTTTTACAAATTCAAAAGGTGCCACATCAGACTGCACAAACTTACTTTTGCAGTCATGGGATTCTGTATATGTACCTTGTGTAGATGTGCAGTTATTTCTTCATTGTCTTCAATTAAATTCAAATCAGGAAAAAATACTGTTGGCATGTGTAGAGAGCAAAATCTACATTCAACACTCAATTCTTGTTTATATTTTTTTTATTATCTTAAAAGACTAAATACTAAAACCTTTGTTTTTATTAATTCACTTACTGACATGTTTATGTAAATGTATGTAAAGTGTATATGTTATGAAGGAATTGTGTTTGAAATTGTGTGTTACTACAACCAATTATATTTTCTCTCACAATTGCATACATTCTGATAGAATCCAGTATCAATAAGTCTATTTTTTGCTTAACACATTCATGTAAACACATGAAATGTGTTCATGATGAAGACACACTGTTTTCTGTTGAATTCTGTGGTTTTATTTTCTAGTTTAGAAAAAGGAAGTGCTTATCTAGGGATAAATGTTGCACGAAACAAAACTTTTTCTGCTATATTATTTCAACAATGTTTGTGCAGTATAGTCAGTTTTATATTTTGTATTTTTATCATAATTTTACCATCTCAACTCTATTCTTTGGTGTGATATGTAATATTGTTTTTCTGTTTAAGTCATAAATGTCAAATCTGAGCCAAAATTTATGTCTAGAGTTTCTCAATATGGGAAATTCTAGGTTCCTTTGTTTAAAAAAAAATATTGCACTATATTTTTAGTTAGTAAAAGGCAAGTGATAGAGTTCTTTATTCTTCTACATAATTTGTGACTAATTTTAGTAGACCATTATATAAAAGTCATAATGTACTAATATTGAGGAGGCATATACAATATTTATATAGCATAAAGCATAGGTTTATGTGTAGTGTATTGTATATGAGTAGTCATACTGTTGTTCCCTTTAAGAGTTTTCCATGATAATCAATATGCTAACAGCCTTTAGGATGTTTTTCAGCTGTCACAATACAGGTTCCTAAGTATATTATGAATGCCAGTCTCCAGACACTGACAGGAGTCAGTTTCTTTAGAGCTAATCTGGTGATACAAATCAGATCATTGATCTACAGGCCTTATAATAAGCTTCCACACATGTCCACAAATGTATTTTCAGCTTATGTATCATTACATGAGCTATTTCAGGTCTTGGTAGCACTACAGCAGTAGCAAGATGTAATTCATCACTGGGTAGATGTCCTAGTGTTTATTAAGAACTTCAGGTTGTCATAGAGGCCAGACTGTGCCTTGTCCTAGTGGATACTTCACTATTTTAGGTCTCCACACTGAATCAGATCTAGCCTTTGGCACTTCTTAGGATAAAATGGATTCACTGTCTTTTCTTTTTTCTAGGAAGTGTTAGACAAATCAATTTGCCTAAATAACAGTCTGTCATCTGGTTAAAATTAGATGAGATGAATCTCACTCCAACTGTAGGCATGCAGAAAACTCCCTCTGAGACCAGATTCCACTGCTCTCATGGCATCATAGGATGATTTGGGTTTGAACAGAACTCAGGAGGTCCAACCTCCTGTCCAAGGCAGGGTCAACTAGGAGGTCAGACAAGATTATGCTGATTTAATTCCATCACATCTTAAAAACCTTAAATTAAGTATTACAGGTATGTAAAGAAGTATAAATACAAAGCTTGTGCTTCACATTGACTAGTTCTAAATTATTATTTAATGCAGTTTACAGGAATCTGAGACCCAGCTGTTGCAGGAAGCCGAACGCCTGAGTGCAGAACTGGAACAACAGTGTGAACTGGAAAAAGCAGAACAGCTCCCTGAAGAAGCTTCCAGTGAAGCTTCCCAAATAAAGCAACAACTTTTTAGCTGCCGAAGTGAATACAATGCTATTAAAGGAAGAGTGTATGAAAATCGATTGAAGATAGAATGGTAGGTGAAAGTGGTCAAATGCTGCTAATTTTATCATAGATGGTCTAAAAAGATGATAAATAGAATAAAATCTCCTTTACATTTTACATGGACACATTTCTTGATAGCTGTTGTTAAATGAGTGGACACAAACTTTCCCCAGTTACAGCAACATGTCAGTGATTAATACATTTACCATGGTCAGATTTGTAGATAGTTTTAAATTTAGAACATGGATGGAGTTCTTTAAAATGCTGTTTAAAATTTACTACATTGGATAAATAAAATTTAGGTAGGGAAAATTAACATGAACAATTCTAGTCTAAGACACCTTCAATACAAATGTTTAAAGTGTCAGAGACCTGTTGGCTTGGATTTTATGGAACAATGTCATAAATAAACCCAAGGCTATTTTTAACATCAGTAGCATGATGTATTCAAGTTTTGCTATTCAGGTATTCAAAGGGGAAGAAGTACTTCTATATTCTAATGTTAGAAAAATGATAGATTTGCTGTGAAAGAAGTGAAATCTTAACATTTCTATATAAGGACAACTGTCTAGAATTAGCTTGGTATTGTATACATTTCAATTATCTGCATACTTTATAGTATTACAAGAAATATTGCATTTGTAAAAATATGTACCTAGGTAGATTAAATCAGATTTTTAGTTTGTGAGGGATTTGCTATTTTTACCCATCTTCAATCCAGCTGTAGGGTCATTGGTGTGTATAAAAACACAAGGTCAGCATCTCAGCAGTTAAGATTATTATTCTGCAAGGAAATCAGAACACTGTGCATACTGCATGGAGTAGGTTTTTCTGGGAATACTTTCTTGATTTTTGTTTTGGTTTTTTAGAGCCAAGTGTTTGCTCTAAGAGAAGAAAAAACTAAGAGAATGAAGCAAACTGTGAGTGGGAAAGAAGCATGGAAAGCATCTGGAAAAAATTATTTGCTATGAGATAACTAAGAAACATGAAATTTCCTGAAATAATTATTAAATACAGAATTTATTGCAATTTCCAAGCAGTTCAGAAATTAGTTCTTCAGAAGTATCATGCTTTTTAACCATTTGTCCTCATATCTTTGGAACATTTTTTTCTCTGATTTTGCATCAATTTCCAAAAAAATTATGAGGATTTATATGTTTAGGCAATATTTTCCCATTCTTTATTTTCTACCTCCAGTGAAAATGAGAACTCTATTCCATACAGAATGCAGTGTAGGCATTATTTCAATTACCCCAGCACATTTACTGGATTAACTTTTATATATGAACTGAATATCTTGCAGATTAAAAATCCACTTTTTGGGTCAGTCATGCTGTAAAAAATGATCCTTCACTGTAGTAAGAAACTTACGTCTTATGTATTGCCCAAGATCAAACCCAGCTGTACAGAGGTCTGTGAAGTGCATTATCTAATGGAGACCAAAAGTGCAGCCCCAGCCTGTTGTGATGTGGGGATTTCATGAGCCAAATACAGTTATCTGTGCTTGGGAATCCTCAGTTGACCCCAATTCCTTTGAACTTCTCCCGTCTCCTCCAGAACAAACTTCTGACATTTCAACATGCTGGGCAAAGAGTTCCACAGATTAACTACATAAGAGCTGCCACCAGTGTCATAGACAGAGGGGAGGGAAGCTGCATCGAAGGTATTAGAAGTTTGCTGTTAGGTCGCTGTTTGGTTTCCTTAATTTCTCAGGATAAAAAGTCATGGCCCAACCTCTCTTGGCCCTTGATCTCTCTGGAACACAGTTTCCCTTGTTGTCCAACTGTGTTAATACAGTTCCAGCTGTGCTTGGCACTCACAAGTAAATTTCTCTTTGGGAATTATGACTAATGGCTGTTCATTCTGAAAACAAACATGTTGTTTATTTTTTTTTTTGTATGTATAGCAGGCAGGGAATGTGGAGGGGGAAAGGTTTTGAAGGGTTTATCTGTGTCTCTTATCTACTGCTCTATCCCTTTTTTAGAATGTCTACTGAGCTGGAAGTGAGAAATCCGATCTTGTTTCCCTGGTTCTGCAGATCTCTGTTCCCCTGTTTCTGTAAACTTTTATTTTCTGAAGCATCCCTCTTATCTCTGATGCCTTTATTTCCTGCCTTAATTCACTTTCTCTGATATCTAAGAGTATTTAGCACCTGTTTTGCATTCAGATTCAAATCTGACAATGATGAGGAGTCATACAGATATGCCATAACATTAGCAAAAGTCTTAAGGTCTCTTAATATTCCATACTCTTCGATTCCTATTTATTTTCCTATTTGCTTGCCTCTGTGAACATTTTCCCCAGACCTTTCTGAATAACATGAAATCTGAAGATTTTATTTCATCTTTTGTTTTAATTATTTATTGTTCCAATGAGTAGTCAACATTTCCAAAATAAATTGCTTTCAGCAATTTAAGTATCATCAGGTTTTCAGGAATATTGTGACTTTTCTCATAGTTTGAATAGGTACATGAGATATTAAGTGTATTTCTTGACACACTTCAGCTGTAATGGAAGTCACCCTGAGGGTGACTGCATGGATGGGATGTGTTCCCACTGTATGTGCCTCCTCTTCCAGTTTGCAGTCTGTTCTGCCATATGGATGTACTGGGCTCATTGCTGGTGTGTCTGCCTGAGAGCTCAGGAGGAGAACAAGGGTTGGAAGGATTTTGCTGAGCTTATAAAGTTTGGGCCACCATCCCAATGTCTGAGCTGACTCTGGGAGTATTCTTCCTCTCAAAAACTACTTGGCAAGGGTAATAAAGGGAAAAAGAGTCATCTCCATGCAGTTCTGCTAAAATTGCATTGAGAGCCATGAAATTTATTCATATAATTGATAAGAAGCCTCAGTAAGTAAAATAGAATAAGTAAGAATATAGATCAAAAAATCAAATTCATGGAACAAGAAGGAAAGAAACAGTGTGATCAGCAAGGATTTCTTCTGGCTCAAGGAGACTTTTCACTTTAATGTTTGTGTGAGGCTTGGAGTTATGGTTTATGAGAGAAAATAAAGAACTGCTTTTCTTTATTACACAACTTATCAACAGTAGTTTATTGTGAGAAATAATAAATATTAAATCTAAATCTATCATCTAAACACTTCATTTAAAAGTAAGCAATTAATTTGTTCTAAATTTATCTATAACAAGAGTTTGTGAAGTTAAAGGTGCCTGATGCTTGAAACAGTTTTATTTGAAAGCTTAGGTCCAAATCTCCATCTCTCACAGTTCAGGTAACAAAACAGCTCCTCACCGAAGTATTCTGCAACTGTGTGCAAGTCAGGATTGCAAAACTGATTTTCTCCTTGTAGAAGCATTGCAAATAAGGAAAACTATTTCAACACTTGTAAATATTTCTGTATTAGTCACTCAATAATTAGAAAGTGAAAAGTTAAGCTGTTATCCATAGCTTCTCTACTGAATAATTACAGGTCATATGCAAAATAAATAGCACCACAGCTGAAGTTGTTATCAGCTGGTCTTGTGACTGCATTTTCTGGTACCTACAAATTAATTACCACTCATAGCCTTACAGGAAGTTCATGCTGGCAGCTTGTCAGCTGTGATAATGTCTACCTGTGGTCACTGGATTATAGTTGTGAGGTGCCAAACACCTTCTGTGGATTTCCAAGCAATCAGAGCTCTAAGAGAGAGTAGCTGAAGGAGTTTACTTTTTTCCATGATGGGACTTCTAATGCTAACAGTGTTGTGGTTATTTTGTGAGTTGAGGAAGTTAAATGGACTTCTGTTGACAACTACCACTACATTTCCTAATCTCCTGTCTTAATTTTTTTATTTCTGTGTCAGCTTGCGGCTGTAAATGTCTCTCAGGGAAAAAATATGGAATGTATTTTTATTAATGACCCAGTTTTCCAACTGCCTTTTATTAACTCATTACAACTGCACCTCTGACAGCTTTTCATCTACGGTACTGGTATCGGGCTTCATGAAAATAAGAAGAGCAATGTTAGAAACATTTGCGCACATTAATGCTTAAACTTAAGTGTTTTTATCTTCTTTCCATTGGGTGTATTGTTAGAGGCACAATAATGGCAATAATAAAATCCATATGATGTTAAAAAATACATCCATCAGGGAAGGGCTATAAAATAATGAGAAATTTAAATGCCTAATGTTAGTTGCAGTTGTTTTGTTTGTTGTCATTGATGTCTAAGTAAAACAGTCATGAGGATATCCATAGAACACAGATTAAAAGATTCAAATGCTAAATAGAAAAACCAAAATTTCTCTGCTTATCTTACATTAAGCTTCTGTGTTCATCTATTAAATCACTATACTTAAAATTCCTTGAAGAATCTTATTTGATTTCTAAGTGTGTGTTAATCATCCTTCCTCCCCTTTAGAGTCCACAGAGAGGTATATGCTATCTTCAGCTGGTAATTTATGTCATCTTTAAACAGCCACCTGGAATGTGAGATGACCTGCCCTTTGGAGGTCCCAGTTTTTATCCCTGACAGTAAGGAAGCCCTGGAGTAAGGGTGCTAGCTAGCATAGGGCTGCCTGGCTTATGGCTGTGGGCAGCTGAATCAAACTCACTGCTCAAAAGGGAGAGATTTCACTTTTTTCTTTTTACCCATTTTTTCTTTTCACACTTTCCCTGGTTTTTGTGTGGAAGTAGTTGATCTGCCACCTATTTAGGTAACTTGGCCCTTGTCATTCACTGCTGCCTTTGTTTTTGTCACAGAAAATGAAGTGTTCAAATCATTTTACTTTTGCTGGATGGAAAAGTCTTTGTTGTGAAACTGGAATGGTTCCACAGGAATCTGTCTTCATGAGTGAGGAATGTGACAAAGGAAAACAGTGTCAGCTTTGCTCTCTCTCCTGATCTTTGGTGTTGCTCTTTTGATCGTCCAGCGTGATATGAAAGAGGGCACAGCACGGACTAACCACAAGCTCTGCACTACCTCTTTAATCATTTTGCACAGGACTGATTTAATGATATTTTGTGGCAGTCAAACCATTATAGATATTTGTGCAAAGTGGGCATATTATCCTTAGTGTGATTATGCCAGTCCCAAGGATTTTAATTAGAAGTACTGCCAAAATGGGTTGAAATATGATTTTGGAATTTTATACTTGTTTTTAATTAATGTTCTCAGTTTTGGAGGAAGATTGATTTAAATTCAACTTTTTTCTTTAAAAGATTTTGTTTTGCAAACTCGTTCACTCTATAAGTGTTTAAATGCTGGCATTCAAATTAGTTTTTGGTCTTTACCAGTCCCTGTAGAGGCATACTTGTAGTCTACCTATACAAATATCATAGATGCTATATATCAACAACATCTACTCTGTGTCTTTTTTCTCTTTGCTCCTCATTTGAGCAGGAGCTTCTTATTCATGGGAGACATGTTGTTTTGTTTTGTTCTGTTTATATTGCAACACCACCAACCCAGTTCTCTTTTTATCACTATTTCCTTTCCTTAACTAGAAATATGTTGCCAGAGACTTCCAGGTACAAGCTTCACTCCTTTTGTTGGAAGATTCAAATATAAGAAAGCATTTATTGAGAGAGTGGGAGTGGTGGCATGGAGGAGGGGATCTTAAATCAGCACTGCTAAAGGGTTGAGCGTAAGGTCCTAGGGATAGTCCTTCATGAGGCTGGCTGCTGGGAGATTGATCTCTGTTCCCATGACCACACATTTTCCAAAATGTGAACCACCACCACTGTACAAGTCTCGCAATGCTGCAGGAAAGTTTCAGAAGAAAAAAAAGGAAATAGCAATCAGCTGCCTCTTTTCTGTAGCAGCCACATTATGATGTAACTGTAATAGCTGCTTTGGATGGGTGGGGATGCCCAGGAGTCCCTTGCCATTGTTTCAGCTCCAAGTGACACAAAGTGTTTTGTGGAAGTTTGTCCCTTTCTCTTAATTCTTCCCTAATATAAAGAGTTATTTATTTTACCAGGCTGCCCTGTGTCTCATTAAAACTTGACCAGCACATCCTCCTACTGGAGTTAAAAACACAAATTTAAGCACAGAAGTTGATTCTTTGCTATACCTGGGACAGAGGAGTCAGTTGTTTGGTTGTGATGGCATACAGACTGCTGTAGCCCATTTACCTACTATAGGTGCAGAACTGTTCTGTGCATGCAGTGGGGATGTACCTTCAGTAGGGACAGTTTTTTGTATTTGGTAGGATTTACTACCTGCTACCAAGAAGCTCCCTATTGTAAATCCAACAAGCTTGTAGGTTGAGTTCCCTTTTTATAACCTTTCCTTCATCTTTCTCAGGGCAGGGTTATTAAATACCCACAAGATCTAAGAGCTTTCTTGTTTTTTTCCTTTCTTCCTTCCTCACTTCTTTAGCATCTGTCCCAATTGTTGCCTGAAATGAAATTGTAATTTAGTTTTGGATATAGGTTAAGATCACTGTGGCTATTCAGTTTACTTTTCTACCATACTCCTTTGGCTTAGCCTATAACTCCTGCCACTTTTCAGGATTTTTTTTCCACAGGATCCAGTCCAGATTTGAGAAGCTTCTCTTACAGTTATCTGAAGAGTAAATGTGTCTGTGAAAGCATTCTTAGAAAGAAGAAGGTTTCTCACTAGCAACTGCACTTTCTTTGATATTTGATGTCTTTGTGGCTATTTATTACCCACCTCCTCTTTCTTTCCTTTTGCCACATTTCCTTGTTAACATTTTATTTTCTGAAGTTGGGAGGAACTGTGAGTGCAGGGTGCCACTAGTAAAAGGCACGGGTGAGTGAGGCATGAATGGACCCTGCAGGCAGTAATCAGACTAAGAAAAATCAGAATTCAAATTTTTAGATGTGTGCACTGTAGAAAATGGTGTGTCCACCTCCATATATACGCATCCAGTCCTTCAGGACCCCCAGTTACCAGTCAGAAAACTTGCTTTAAATCTGAGCACCTTTCATGCTAATTCACCATGTTTTTTAGTCTAACATGGGATAGGCTTTCATACTTTCTTATCATTTACTATATTACAGTAATGATTATTCTATTACTAACATATTTAGTTCTGCTTTGATTTTTACTGTAGTTTGCGAGAAGAAAAAAAGCTTCTGGAAAATGAATATGAAAAAATGTCAAAAGAAAAGGTAAGTACAAAACATGAGAAAAGTAATGTTTTATGTTCTGTTAACTAACATTTAAAAGTCATTGAAAATGTCTTCTCAGTGTGCATATCTGGAGTTTATTTTAAATAGAATACACTGAAAAATAGATTTTAAAAGAAATATATTTTATGAGTTATATTATATCTTCAATTTTGATACCTAGAGCAAGCAGTAAATAACCAATTCAGAAAAGATCTGGATTTTTTTATTTACCCAAGAAAATGTTTACTATATTCAGCAAATGCATACTGCGTGTAAAAATAGCTGCAGGTTTTTGGTTCTATGATGTGAACATGAAAAATACATTTTTAGTCACAAATCCTGAAGAATATATGTGGTTTTGTTGGAAATAACATTCTGTTAGTATTGATAGAAGAAACACTCATCTGGTAAAAAAAATTCATTTCATATCTTGTCACTAAAAATGTTATTATTATTCAGTGTTAGTGAGTTTGTGTTATCAGAAGCCTGCAAAATGTAAAAGGGAAAATACAAATAATCTGGTCTTTTACTTCATTTTTAAAGAAAAATAATAAAATTGAACAGTTGAAAGAAAATTGCGATCAGCTCAGCAAAGAAGTAATCCAGAAGAAAGCAGAAGTTGATTCAATAAAAGAAGCTGTTTCATCCAAAGAAAAGCTGATATTAACAGATGAGGAAGAAATGGAAAAGCTTCAGGAGATGCAGACTTATTTAAAAGTAACACAAAATTAATTGTGCCTATGTATCTGTGAGCACGTGTGTGTGTGTGTGTGTGGGTACATATTTTGCCCAAAGGAGCAGTGAATCTTCTGGATGTTGTCATTCCAAATTCAGTATGCCATTATATTAAGTATTAGACCATTTTTCAACAGGCCTGAAACATGCTGCTGTGCCATATCCTTATTGCTCCTTTAAGAAATACTAAAGGTTGTGATTTTGATTAGAAAGTGGTTTCTATAAAGACATCTTAGTTATGTTGTGTTATTTTAGGTTGCTTGGATTACAGTTAATACAGATTTATGCTGAGAATTAAAAACGTACCTGGATCTACTGCTTTCCATGGTATAAATAGCATTATAAGATGTATCGATAATATTCAAGCATAATTTTTATCTTGCAGACACACTAAAATTGTAAACATCAATGTTCAGTTTTACAAGTAGGAGCTATAATTCTCTGGGAAAAACTCAAGCAATTAAAAAGTGTTCCCTACCAATTTTCACAGCAGTTCTAAATTAATATTACTGCTACGAAAACTCATCGACTTTTGAGGCTATTAATCATAACTTTCTGTTTTGTTACTAGGCTGAGCTAGTTAGGCTCCTTGGTGTTCCAAAGCAACTTGCAAAAGAAACTGAGAAGTTGATTCAGAAAAAAATGTATGTTTTTAATAAATAATTCTATATACATGAATATATATATATATGTATGATTTCTTCTCATCCCTTGGTTATAGAAATGATTGAGGGTAGTTGTTGATTAAAATCAGGATTTCCACAGCTGGCAGTGTGGCCTGAGCTACAAACCCTTTCTCCCTTAGTCTTTCTGTACCAGCTGTGGAGTCACAGGTGCTTTGCTCTAAGGTACTGACATGAGTTGCAGTCTCTAGTACTTAACCAGGGGAGATGCAAGCCAGCAGCCAGCCTTTTCTTTCTCTCTCATGAAGCTGGGGTTCTTCTCCTCTGAAGCATGGCATGTGCTGTTTTCTCTAAGTGTAAAATCAAATTAGCACTGTGCAGTTTCAGCCAGGTCACTCACAGATCCCAGTGGTCCAGCTGCCATCCAGATGAATGAAGGGTTTTGTACCCCGTTTGTGCACAGGCTTACATTGAAGTTTGTGTCTCCTGCTTCCAGTCCCTGTTTGTAACACAGAAACTGTTTGACTGTTAAATTTCTCAGGTTTAAAACTTGTATGTTGGTTTTCTTCTATGTTTTCCTCACTACTCTGCTTAATGCAACTCTGCCATCATTAATCTAAGTTTGCTCTTTAGTGTTAAGCAATTTCTAAAACCTACATTGTGCAGATTGCTATTAATGAAATATTTAAATGAGTCTTTATATTTGTGTTACATCACAGAATAAACTAACCAGAGTTCCCAGTTCTTAGGAAGAATATTTAGAAATGTCACACCCATGTATCAGTAATGTGGACAGAAATCAATTTACTAGAACTCTTTTTAATATAATCATGGTGCTAAGCTGTCAGTTAGGTGCAGATACCCTATGGCTATCTGAACTTTTATTGGATTGTATTGAATTTGAAGGCTTTCATTGTCTGCTTTCAAACATTTGATATACATTGTTTTGAAATTATTTTGTATGTCCACAAAAACTGGCAACTTATGTTTTGTCTTTTACATATGCATGTGGAAAATGTAACCCTTACTGCTTTGTTAAAATATATCCACAGTGATGCAGAGAAGAAGAATGAAGCCCTTAATGACCAAATAGAAGAATTGAATAGCACCCTGAAAGCCACTGAAAAAAGGACTGAAGAGATTTTGCAAGAGAAAGAAGATGTAATGAAGGAAATGGATGAGAGACAAACTTTGATACAAAAGAATGAACGAGAATGCATTAATTTGACAAAAGTAATAGAAATTAACGCAGAGAAGGAATTAGCCATCCTAGCAGACAGGTTAGAGACCTGAGCCACATGGAAAGAGTGAACAATTCTCTGTTCTGAAAAGTTTATTTCTTTTTTCTGCTGTTGCTTCTATTTTCAAGTTTTATGCTGCAACCAGTGTAAATTATAAATGATCAGGCTTGGTTTTCACTTCCAAAATATTTATATAAAAATTTGGAATCTGGAATCTAAGATCTGGCTTGAAGAAGAACATCAAAAAGCATAAGCATTTTATAAAATCCTATTAGATTTTGCTCTTAAAAGTGAAATATTTTAGTGAGTTTCTCTCTTTAGTGCACATATTTTCTTTCCTGTGTAACCTACTGAAAGTAATTTGAAGAACAATAAAGTATGCCAGTGTTTTCATTTTCAAATGAGGGTCATAGATGTCTTCCCTCATGTAGTCCTGAGTTTCAGTGAGGATTGGTTAATTGTCTCTTTAATATTCCCTTCAATTATAATTTTATATTTACTTGGTAAAGTAAAATAAACTGTTAGGTTGAAGGCAAACTTCCAATGATTCCTCCTTTGCAGAGGGAGATGTAGTTGTAATTCTGGCTATATGCTCAGCAACAATGCTTTTGCCTTTCAAGCTTTGTATTGAAGGCCCATGGCATCTTATTTTGAAATGTTCCCTTATACTAAAAAATGTTTTCTTCTTCCTATATGCACTAGATTAGCTGATATTTTTAGCATATTTAGAACAGACTGTGAGACCTCACCGACATAATTAGGGTATTATAATTGATTATAGTTATAAAAATGCTACCTTTTAAGGTAATTTTTGTAAGTAGTTTACAAGTTGGTCTTTGCTGAACCATAGTCATGAGGTACTCAAAACCCATTAAAATAGTTGTGCCTGTTTATATATATGTCTTGATTAAGTTACCTGTTTCTAAAATTCTGTGTCTATCTATATAGACAAATTCTGGAAAATAATTTAAATAAATGTATCTTGGAGAACAAAAATCAACGAGATATTCTCAGTCACCATCAAACACAGAAAGATAAAGAACTGAAAAGTTTAAAAATTATAGAGTTACAACTGAAAGGGATTTGGGATTCCTTGGAAGGAGATAAGGCAAAGCATAAAAGACTGAAATCAGAGGTTTGTATAAATGCATTGATCATAAAGATTGTAAATTTTCTTTTAAGAAATATTTCTATGAAATCTCTTGACAGTCCTACAAGGGAAAAGGGGGGAAGACTGTTATTTCATCTTCCTCGTTTCCTCCTTTCTTTAGGATTTCACCGATTCCTCTTTCAATAATGCATTACTCTTTTCTGTTTTACATAGTCTTTTGACTGTAATAATTTTAAAAGGAAGTACTATTCTGCTTATGTATTCAAAGCATTTTCTTTCTTTTCTGCTTCCAATTATTTCTTAAAAATTTACTTGATCTATAAATTTTTTTATATTTTCTTTTTCTCATCACTGGTTCTTCCATTCTCTCTTTCTTATGTATATTTTCTCCTGTCCTTTTTCCTTGCTCAGTCTAGATTCTGAGTCATATAAAATTAATCTTGTTTAGTCAGGTGAATGTTTTTTCACAGCACTTGATGTTTCCTACCTTGACGCTGTCCTTCAAATTTTTATTGGTCCTTCTAAGCAATTTAGGGCAGAAAAGAGTCTTACATAATTGTAAAGTTTTAAAAATGGCTATACATATCAGAACTCCTTTATACCTGGCTTTGCTATTTAAACAACTCCAATTATGACTTGATAATATTTAATATTATTAAACAATATTTTTTTGTCTCCCTTGAAATTCCTCCTGAATTCACATGTGTATTACCTAGTATCATAAGCTCACCTGGGAGAAGGGAGGAAAGCTCTAGAGCTACAAAACAAAGTTTTGGATTGAATTTCCTTAAATAATGATTAAAGGGCTGACTCATATTCCAGACTTTGATCTTAAAGCTTAAAAAGTTTCTGTTCAGTATCAGCTAAGAGAATCTGGGAGTTGGTATTTTTTGCATGTGTTCCTATTAGAAAATGTTTCTGGATGGAGATCCACAATTGTTCAAAAACATGTAATGCTAAAATCAAATACCATAACTCACAAGCAGCTGTGGTTAGAGTTCACAGTCTGGGGTGAGATCCAAACCCATCGCAGCCCAATTCCTTCACCCTGTGGAAGGACAAGACCTTGTATGTGTGTTAAAAATAGCATCATCATGAGGAGTAAGGGAAAAGCAATGCCATGAGAGACAGAAGTGGAATTCTGATCAGTATTTTACTCCAGCAGCTGCAAGGTACTACTCTAATGCAAGTAGCCACAGCAATAGAGTTGTTTTAGCCCATCCTCCCATGCTCCATGTTTTCTCTGATTCCTTTCCTGGCTCTGTTAGAAGAGCAAATGTGAAATCACTGCTTCTCTGCATTGAAATACAGTACTGCAGTAAGGAAGAGTCAAGTGGCCAACTTGATTCTGCTTGGCTTTTGCTATATTTGGACAATTTTAATTTGTAAGACTTGGGAGCACACCCAGCAAAACTCTAAAAAACAGTATTTCAAGTAGATAAAATTTCTTTAACTACTTAAACCCCTAGATTTACATTTATTCATTGTGATTCAAAGTGAAAAAAATCACAATAATTAATTGTTTATATAAATATGTGATTGCAGAAGTAGCAGCACATCAGTGTGGTTCCCCAAATTTCTTTTTTTGAATCATATGCTAAGTGCAGGATGACTGGTTTGTAGAATAAGGAAATTACAGGAACACTTCTTCAAATGTGCTTTCCCCGTTAGTAAGTTGTGAAAGGTCAGCTATTGCTAAACACCAAAACTGTGTGAAAGCGAGCTGCTGGTCCTGCTCTCTCCAGCCTGGAGCAGAGCTGCTGCTCCTCTCCATGTGGGCCTTCTCTTTGGTCAGGCCAAAGCAGAGACAGCCAAAAGTGCCTAAGTTTAGCCCTGTCTTATGTGAACAGAAGTCACTAATAGATAAAGATGTTTATATGAGCTTTGTATTTTTATACAGCAGAAGTGCTAACTAATATATGCTCCATGTAAAAGCTATTTTTGATCCCAACACAAGACCAAAAGTCACTTTCTTAGGACAGCCTTTACTGACATTTTAGTAAACCTAAGTCAAATTAAATCTCAGAGCTGGCAGCTGCAACTAAAGTAACTCCACACTTCGACCTTTACTGTGTCTCTGGTTTCCCTTTACCATAATGCAAGTGAACAGAATTTAATTTTACAATACTATCACAGAAGTGAAAATAACAAATGCAAAACATCTACCTATCAGTACTGATTTATAGTGAACTCTAACATCTGGTTGAGATCTGAGCAAGATATCACAGGGTTGTATTTATTATCTTTGAATATCTTCCAGGTGTGTTGTAATTTAAATTGTATTACTTAAATGTAATATTTTCCTATCCATATGAATTACAGATTTACAATTAGAGTAATTTGGGTTGGAAGGGACTTTTTAAGGTAATTTTGTCCAAACCCCTGCAGTAGGTAGGGACAGCTTCATCTAGATCAGGTTAGTCAGACCTCAGTCTAACCTGGATTTGAATGTTTCCAGAGATAGGGCATCAACCACCTCTCTGGGAAATCTGTGCCACTGTTTCATTACCCTTGTCGAAGAAAGTTCTTCCTTATATCTAATTGTCCCTCTTTTATTTTAAAGTTAATATCCCTTACCCTATCACAGCAGTTCCTGCTAAATTGTTTGTCCCCATCAATTACACAGAGGCAATATATGCCTTCATAGGTAGCCTGATGCATTTATTTCTTGCTTTCTTATAACCATAAAGAAATTCTAAGCAAAGTTAATCACAGTGAGGCTAGTACAGCTTTTTGTCTTATAAGTTACATCATGTAAGTAGTTGTAGTGAGATTGGTCAGATATATTTTAAACAGGTACTCTTTTTATGTATTCCTTCACATACTTAATGTTAAAATCTGATTGAATAAATGAATTTCCCATAATTTACATGAAAAAATAATACATAAAACTTTGTGTTATTAGATTTTACTTTCTAGGGCCTAATGAAAATCCTACTGTAGTGATAAAAAGAAAAAAATGTGATATTCATTCTATGTAAATGGGAACTCTTTTTTCCTTTAGTAAGCTCAGCATTTCACTCTGAAAATCCTCTGTGAATTTAGGGGATATTGTTATATACTCTTTCTGTGTTTATTTTTTTTAATGACAATTTAGTTGCTGAAAACAATAAACCTTCTAAATTTGTGAAGTTTAGTGTTCATAGTTCTTGAAATAAATTTTTGAGAAGCTTCAATTAGTTGCTGAGGAACTACTCAATTAAGCATTCTTGTATTAGCAATTATAAGAGGAGAGAAATTTAATTTCTTAATTTGTGTAGCTACTTCTAATACACTATCTGCAGTTGAAATTTTCCTAATATTTTATTTGCATCACTATGTGCTTGGTTTATTTTTGTAGGCAGAAATTAATTCAAAAAACAATGCAGTATTATTAGAAAGACGACAAGAACTGCAGGAGGAGATCGAAACAGTCAAGAGAGATTTAGCTGAACAGGTGCTGAATTCTGCTTTCTCATATTTTTTCATTTTGACAGTTGGTTTTCTATCATGAGAATAAAGGAACTGTTTGAAGAAAAAATAATGGGAGTTTCTAGCTGCAGCTTTCTGGTGAGAAAATGCAATACTATTTCTTCCATTTTAAAGACCGCTTATCTTTAATTTTTAAAAACATTTTGATGTTACTGGCCATATACTAGAAGGTAGAAAGCAAATCTCCTTTCTAGTTTAAGTCTTCTAGTCTAGTTTAAGTTTAACACTGCAGCTAGAAATATATTGTTATACATTTCCTTTGGATATGAAACCGTGTCTTGTTGCAACAATGAAAATTCAGCATTTATACATTAAGATTTTTCATTTTCACAGTTCTGTCATTTGTGGATGCAGCACAGCCATACAGAGTGTGGAAATGCAGATAGCTACCTTACAAGAGCATTAGTACTTGCCACTACATAAATGACCTTATAAGAAGCAATCTATTTCAAACATACCTCCTTGGTACCTCCAAGGTCAAACCTGCTGTCTTCTTACCCTTATATCCATTTTCTTTATGTGTTTTGTTTGAATTCATTAACATTATCAAGTGGGGATCTGCTTGTATTTGGATACACACGCATTCCAGCACCTACACGGCATTCTCTGGGATATGTAACTTGTGTGCCATGGACAGACACAGTCAGTGGAGCCTAGGAAGCTTCCATTCACTTCCTATTGAAGACCTGACACTGAACTTACTTAAAGATTATATAGCTATAAATATACATTCTGTCCAATGGACAATAGCTGAAAGATGTTAGACTGAGGAACAGAAATGCTCCTAGGTGATAATATATTCTGAAATTTTGTTATAGGGATTGTGCATAGTGTTTTAAAGCAATAATTTATTGCAGTTTTAAATCTATGTAGTCTGTATATTTGTTTACATTGGAGATAAACCCAAAGTATTTCCAAATTTGGTTTTGCCAACACTGATACATAGTTGCATTAGGATTAAAATGTAATCTTCTCTAGGAAATGATATCAGATATGGATGCCCGCATGTTAGAAGAATGCATTGCTGCAGAACGCTTGCTTTTCAAAGAGCAGGAAAAGTGCAGAAATGAATTATCCACACTTACACACCTGACCGGGCTCAGAGCCGATGAGAGGCAACTGAAATGCAGGGATGTTCAGAAAACTAAGGTAAAAAATTATACAATTAGAAGACTGTTCAAAAGTACCAGCTGGTATAGGGAGAAATTAAATAACTAGTGAGGGGAGCCCTGTAGACTCATTTCCTACCCTGGCTTTGAAGCTCCACCGGAACACTGGAAACTCACAATACTGTGGTGTCTTATTGCAATTTGTGTTGCAGTGCAGTATGCTAAAATATGACTCCACAATTGAAACAAGGAATTTGAAACAACATTAGAGTACCCAAAGGAGGGCAACAAAGATGGTGAAGGGCTTTAAGGGGAAGCTGTATGAGGAGCAGCTGAGGTCACTTGGTCTGTTCAGCCTTGAGGAGACTGAGGAGAGACCTCACTGCAGTTACAGCTTCCTTGTGAGAAGGAGGAGGGACACACACTGATCTCTGTGGTGACAGTGACAGGACCCTTGTGAGAAGGGGGAAGGGCACACACTGATCTCTGTGGTGACAGTGACAAGACCTGAGGGATTGGCCTGAAGCTGTGTTGGGGGATGTTTAGGTTCAGTATTAGGAAAAGGTTCTTCATCCAGAGGGTGGTTGGGCACTGGACAGGCTCCCCAGGGCAGTGGAACCAGCGCCAGCCTGACAGAGTTCAACAAATGCTTGGAAAATGCTCTCAGGCACATGGGTGCCTTGGGAATGGTGCTGTGCAGGGCTGGGAGTTGGGCTTCATGGTCCTGGTGGGTTCCTTCCACCTCAGCACGTCTGTGATTCTGAGATTCTGTGATTTTCTTTCAAGCCCATGGGATAAAATGAATATTTTGAAAGAACAAGGCAGACTAGCAGACAACCTGAGATTCCCAGAAGTAAATCTGTGTGGTTTATTTTACAAAAGTATGAACATTAGAAGATAAACTGAATTACTCCTCATTCCAAAGTGAGGCAGAAATTTCTATTTTCCTGTTACATTTCAAAGCATAAATAATGATATTGATTTAGAGAAAGAGGGAAAGAAAACTTTTGTATGAGTAGTCATTGTATTTTCTGCCTACATTTTTCTGGAGTGACATGTGCTGTGATGTCACACAGAATTTGCTAAATACCAAATTGCTATATGGAAACAAGTTATTGATGTTTCCAAAATGTATGTCTGTATTCACATAAATTAGATAAGCTACCCTTCCACCATCTTGGGAAACTCTGAGCATCTGTAAAAATAAATAAACATGTTAGGCTTTGTGCCTTCAATAAAATTAGTCCATAAACAAACAAAACAAAATAATACAAATTCAGGAACACACAGACAAGTCCAAAGTTGCAACCCATCATCCACCAGTTTTTCCTAATACAAATCTGCTCCTCCTGATACCAGTGGGAGGGGAGAAAAGGCCTCTCAATTTAAGATTGATGGCCCAGGCTATTGAGGACTGAACACAACTGGAATCAAAAATACAGAAACAGGCTGATCAGCAGAAACAGTAGAACTCCAGAGAGAGAGAACCAAGCATTTAAGATGCAGTATCAAATTATCTACATTACTAATAGTAATTGTAAGCTTAATATAAGTGGAAAAACTGTGCTTTTTTATGTTGCTGTAATAAAAACATTCCATTGTAGTAAGAAAATGTTTTTATAATAATGTCCTCTCACTGTCTTTTTCTCATCTAAGAGTTGTTCTGGGTAATTTCACTGAAGACATTTCTCTAATATATCTAAAGTGCTTGCTAAATTTTATTTAAATTTCAGATTGAACTCCAAAGTCTTGTTAAGGAACTAAAAATAAAGGATCGTGAACTAACCACCTGTAAAAAGATGAAAAAAGAAAAACAAAAAGAGTAAGAAAATAATAATACATTATTTTTAAAAAGTCTTCTAAATCAACTTTTACCCAAGCAACGCAAGTGTAAAATGCTAATAATTATTTCTTTCACACATCTCATTTCTTCAGACTCCAAGGATTTACTAGGATGTGTGATCTTATGCTAATTGAAAAGGATAAAAGTATAGATTTGATGCGTATTGCTCAGTGGAAAGCAAGGGAAGCTGAAAACCGGGTAAAATTGCTAGAAAATAATATACAAAATTTAAGAGATGCTGTTATAACCAGAGAAAGGTGAGTTTAAAGTACACTGTAGCTCACAATTATAGAAATTTAATATGAAAAAAATCTTAGGAGGGAATCTATTCCATCTTCAGTTATGCCCGTATCATCCTGGATAGTTATCATCCTGATTTTTTAAAATCTGATTAAAACAAAGGCATTCAGAAACACCCCTCCATAATCTGTTCCAATTTCTTATCCCACTAAGACTCTACAACTAGCTGGGGCATCACTGCTTGTCAGAAAGTAGTTTTGAAGTTTGTCTGCCTACTCTCTCATTTTCTCATCCTTTGTATCAGAGTTCTTGGATCTCTCAGGTTTTGCATTATCATTCTGTTTCATTCAATGTGAGCAACACTGTTGCACCCATATTTGCTGTCCTTAGAGAAAAATAGGTCTGACACATATGATTCCCTAATGAAGTGGTGCATGGGACTATTAAATGAGTCACTCCCTAGGAATATGGCTGTCTGATTATGAAATTAGAACAAATTGGGAATTTTGGTTCAAACTCCCACTGAAGTTTATTACATCACATTTATTTCAAATAAAATGTGGTTTCAATTTCTAGTCTTAGACAAAATAAAAGGTTACATTCACAGCAAAGATAATAAGGCAGAATCACTGGTACTTTTGACTCTCTTTTTTCCTAGATCATTATTTAGTGAGGATATCTTTTTGCCATATTTTTATCATCCTAGTGATGAAATTCGGCAATATAGACAGAATTACAATGTCTTGGAAATCTGTTCTTGGGCAAGTAGGAAGACAGTGAATAGACAACTGTGTAAGCAAAACAGGAAGACCAAATTGAGTAGTTAAAAATAACTTGCTTTTCTAAAAACTTCATTATTTGTTGCCAAAAAATTGTTAAATCAGACAAAGAATACACTAAGTATTTTTTGTGAATCTCCTAGTAGTTTGGTTTCAAAGTCATGCTAGAGATAGGTAAAAAAGAGGTAGAACTTTAGTGATTGAAGTGATTTTGTCAAGATGAACAAGCTGACATTTTGTTGTAAAAATTTTGAGGCCTTCCCTCAAAGGCCTCTCAAGTTGATAAAAGAAGGGGGGAAAAAGGCAATTAAGACATAAATTTTGTATAGATATCAGAATTATATAAATATTATTATTGATGTCCCTGCTCGGTACAGATCCAACAGATATTTTGGGCTCTGCAAAACTAGATTTAAAAGTAGTCAGAAGTATTGAATTTTCAGTAACTCTCTTGCCTATGAAAAATATTTTAAATCCCAGTAACAGACTTTAGCGTCAGTACCACTGACTTCACTGCAACCTATGCAATTTGGAGGGGAGAATATCAGTCCAAGTAAGGCAAGAAATTTTCAGAAAATATTTAAAACACATTGCATTTCTGCAATTCTGTTATACTTCCAGTCTGAAACTTGACTTAGAGAAGTTTAATTAAATTCAGTAATAGCCTGTGGTGCTTAAAGTGTTATACATGGGGGGAAATGAAAGAAAGCAGCTCCCTGCCCTGTATACAGCAAATCAGCAATTAAGTGATGGAGCCCATGAGGGAAGGCTCTTTCATCTGCAGGTCTGTATTTTAACAGGAGACTTTGCTTCTCCTTTCACTACCTCTTTTGTGCATTGACATGAATATCTTCCCAGTGTAGATAAAGTTGTGTCTTGATCCAGAAGTGATACCACAGATCCAATGCAATAACTCTAAACTCTGTGCTGTGAGATAGTAAATACTCCATCTGTCTTTTAAATGATGGGTCATCATCCAGTGATCAACAAGGATGCTGGAAATAATGAGATCTGTTCTTTATTTTTATGTCATCTTGTCACTAACCTCCCACTATGTTTTGGTTTCTTTTTTCATCTATCAAATGGGCAGATGAAATAATAATGGGCAATCTAATAATTTTCTTTCTTATGTTGATGTTTTGACACACTGTTTTATAAACAATAGATTTTGAGAACTTTGAGTTACAACCACAAAATAATTTAAATATTGTTATTTAAATAGAAAGGCAGGATTTCTACACATTAAGACTTTTCATCAAAATTTATGCCTATGCTCTTAAACTATTGTTTATGGCTACTTGGGCTACCTAGTAGAGAATAAAATAGCTGTAGTACAATATTCCCTGTATAGCATTTTTTCTTGAGCCAGAACCCAGTTCTTTTCAAATGGGAAAGAACTTGCAAAAAAAATCTGCTCTCAGAATGTCTTTCTTCTTCTTGTAAAGCTTCTGTGAAGCAGAGACATAGAGGAGCCCTTGTGTACTTGAGAAATAAATTTAAGCTCTGTTTTTAATTGCTGAAATTGGTTTCAAATTGAAAGAATAAAAATATTCTCACATTTTTTTTATGTTAAAGAAAATTGCAGGATGAGTATCTGAAGATTAAAAAGAATGAGAGAATAAAAGAGTTGATCAAAAAGGATTATTCCAAAATTGAACAAGAGATGATAGAGAATAAAGAAAAGGAAAAGTATTTGAATATTGACAGACTTACCGCTGCAGCCACACACATTGAAGAGGAAATTTTGCAGCTACGCAAAAATTATGAAAGGGCTATTGAACAACGAAATGAGAGGTACATTTGTAAATTTGATCTAAGGTAGTGTTTAATTTTGACATTGAAGCAACAATATTTTTCAGCTTATGAGCACCCCTCATTAGTATTGCTAATTAGTCTGTGGCACTGCAATGTTTTGCTGACCAGTCCCCCTCACTGCACTGCCAGTGCTGCTTTGCATTATGTAAATGTTTCTCCAGTGGTGATCATGGCCATGCTTCAGAACTATTATTCAAAAAATATGGTATCTTGGCTACTGAATGTCTTGAGAACTTGTAGCTACCTGATCTCCTTGTGCATTGTGCACAGATAAGGCATCTGCAAAAATGCAGATTATCTAGATCTCCCTGATCTTAATCCAGTTTTAAATGCTGTGGAAGGCCAGAAGACCTTAAAAATTATGTGTTACCTTTCCAAGAGTTTGTTTTCTGATTTTCACATTGCAATTATTTTGTTACTTATTAAAAATGCTGTCATTAGATTAAAATTAAAATTGAGAAAGCTTCATACATTGTCACAAATTATTACTGTATTTTAAGATAACTTTTTTATGTTTTTGAGTGAAATATACTGAATATGACTAATTTTTTAGAAAAATTATCTTTAAATTTTGGCTTTATTTTCAGTGGTCTTTTGCTCAAAGAACGAGAAGAAGAACTAGGCTTTTTGTATGAAAAAATAAACAGGCAAGAGGTCTTGTGTAGGAATGGAGATACTAAGATGCAAGTTATGGATGAAAAGATCAGTTTTCTGAAGCTGAAGTTAGTTGAGAAAAAAAGAGAGGTTAAATTGTGTTTTAAAGAGCTCACAGTGAAGAATGACCTGGATGCACATCTGGTGAGACTTCGGATACAGGTTGGTGTTAAAGAAAGCCATTTTTACTACTGTTCTGTATTTTAAAATTTAGCGTTGTTTCATAGAAAAAAAGATCTGGATGTACAAAGTTAATTATAAAAGCAAGTTTAGTAATGCACCTGTCTAGCAAAACAGTGATAAATGTTTTTAACTTCACATATATGAGTTTCTATGCTTATGTGTAACTGGCTCATGGTCTTTGTTTCATACATGCCAAATGTTCCCTGGGTGTGGAATTCCAGCTAACCCACCCCACAGCCTGAAATGTCAGTATGACTAAGCTGGAAAATGGGAGTCATTGGGGAAAAATGGGACTGTAGATAAAATTTGTTAAAACTGTATTGATGGAGTAGGTGGAGGGGTGGGAGATACACTTAGACCATCAAATTTCTAAAATAATAACTCAATTCACACTTGACCCTGAGCCTACTCTGGAAACTCGGCTGCCTACAATGATATAATCCACATATATTTTCTTCTGCACAAAAACAGTGTAAGTTTTAGTTCTAGTTACAAAATAGCATTAAACAGCTAACAAACTGCAGAGCTTGGGACATTCTTTCCTTGCTTTCTGAAATGGCTCATTTACTTTTGACCTTATCTCCAGATGGTAATTTTTCCCATACATACTCTGTTAATGCCTGCACAAAACCATAAATTGGGCTGTACCATTGCCTTTCAAACTCGCATCAATGGGAGCTGTGGCTCATGGTTTAATAGTGCTTGCACTATTCTCCTACTTCTGGCCTTTTGAAGAAATTGTATGCTCTGCTACAAGAATAAAACATAGTACATGTTTTAATA